CGAAGAATAACTAGAAGGACTAGGGGGAGGGCCTAACCCTGTTGCCAGAGGCCCTATATGTTACAATGCCGGGCACTCGTGGTCGCTCAAGGGCCCTCCACAGTTATTTTCATTTGCTTGTAAGTCTCTACGCTGTTACGACCACATGTTAACCTGCGGACAGTCTCGATCACTCAGGGGCCTTTACATTGGTCTTGGGCTCCTCTGATTTAATCAGAGGGCCCTGTGTTGTCTCCAGGAGACCTAGAACTCGGCCTATCAAGACACGATTTGCCCAGGGGCCCTTTACGGTGGTGTAGAGCTCAAATGGTTTGCTCTTATTTGTGGCCAGTTCCACGCCCTCGACGGAGGCCTTATGTGTTTAACTGCCTGGACTTTTCGACCTCCCCGGGCCAGCCAAAGCGGTCTCGAGTAGTACTTGCCTGGACGGTCTCGCTCCTTTGCCCTATATGTTTACCTGTCGGGACACTTCAGATCGCTCAGGGTACCACCAAGCTGCTCTCTGGTTCTTTAAGCGTGCTTTTACCCTAAGATGTTGGCTGGGGCTATCTGTGTTGACTCGTCGCGCCACCGTCGTTCGTTCAGAAGCTACCCATGCCTTTCCCATACCCATACCCATACCCATACCCATCATGCCTTTCCTTTTTTTCTTTGAGGATCCATGCCGCTGATAAGGTTCTATATGCCGATCGGTTGGAGCACGTTCGGCCACTCCGAGGCTCTCTACATTGGTCCTAACGCCTTCCTTTGTGCTCAGGAGGACTTCACTCCGCTGCCGATGTCTTCCTTTGTGCTCAGGAGGACCTCTCGCTGCTGCCGATGTCTTCCTTTGTGCTCAGGAGGACCTCACGCCGCTGCCGATGTCTTCCTTTGTGCTCAGGAGGACCTCACGCTGCTGCCGATGTCTTCCTTTGTGCTCAGGAGGACCTCACGCTGCTGCCGATGTCTTCCTTTGTGCTCAGGAGGACCTCACGCTGCTGCCGATGTCTTTCTTTGTGCTCAGGAGGACCTCACGCTGCTGCCGATGTCTTCCTTTGTGCTCAGGAGGACCTCACGCTGCTGCCGATGTCCATCTACGGGAACCTGTCGGGGCACTCCCAATTGCTCAGCAGCCTTTTGCACTGGTACTGACTCTTCATAGTCGCTCAGCGGGCAGTGTGCCATTTCCGGGGCTCTATGTGTCGACCTCTTGTTGCAAACGCGTTTCGAGAGGGGTTTTAGGCGTGGCCCTGTCATTGTTAGCTGAAAAAGACAACATTCGCTGGCAACACTGAGCAAATCGCGGAGGACTGCGACTATCACGGCTATCTTGGAAGACAACAGCCGAATTTACGACGGAGCACTCGTCATTTTCCGTGAAACCAGAAATGTCACTTTGGAATGCGAGATAAAACCCTACCCCGCGAGGGTTAACCCCCAGGTGACACAAGTGTTGTGATATGGCGCACAATTGATCACTGCAATTTTCAAGGGCACCAATGATACCAATATCCATGTATTCAACTGTAGGAATCACAGGACTTTATTACGGAGCCACGTTGAAAGCTTCGTCTAAGAGCATCATTTGGCATAGAAGTCAAGTTTTGAAATTTGGTCCACAGAAATTTGATAACGAGGTACTAGTTAAATGCTTTGACAGAATATGCATTCGATCTTTCACGAAAGCTGTGGAAAGGTCTAGTAAATAGGCAATTAAAAAGGCCTAGTAAAGGCCTTGGCCCCCGGCAAAAGGGTTGCGCCCCCCCCCCCCTAGTCCTCCAAGTTATTTTTCAAATGGAAGAAAGCTACGACTACATTTGAAGGCCCTTGAACAACCGAGATGACTCCGGCAAATGAGAATATAGGGCCTCCGGCAGCCATCTAAAACCCCTGAAGAACGCAAGGGTTCCTGAAACTTCTTCAGCCCTTTCCCACTCAATCCACCAAGCGGCCCTTTGTCTCCGCTTGAAGTCACTGGTCGTCTTTATGGGAACGTTTGGCTCAATGGGAACGTTTCACATTTGAATATATTAAAGCAGGCACCAGATTTCATTAAATGGGCTCATTTATAACTATTGGTATACTTTTAAGTGGAACGGACTGCTCTAGACAGTCAGATTGATCAATTTGGTGGATATATTTCAAACATGTCATTGATTGCGTGATGGAGCGTCTGTTTGACATGAGGTGCTGCCAAACTAGTTGTGCGAAATTCCAACCTTAGCACTCACTTGTATTACTTCGATCTCCCGAGAGGTGGCGGTGCAGGAGGTATTTATGGAGCCAAATGTCGTTGTGCGCTTGTCTTGGCCCTTTCTTGTGTTGTTCTTGCATACTTATCCACGACTTTAAGTTGTTTACTTCCATTCACTTTCTCAGTTATGACCCTATTCTTAAGTTATTCGATTACAAGTCTTATTCTCGTAATAACTAGCAGCCGTGTCCAACACCTCGTATTTGGGGTACAACGCGGGAGTCGTATTTGAATCTTGCACAGACTACACAACATCGATTGAAAGCCAATTGACATCTGTTATATCTGGAAATTGTGCTTAAGAACGCCAGATGTACAACTCGACGATGATGTTCTTTTCGGCCTTGAAGGCTGCGTGGTTAATGGGGTGGCAGGGTTTGACCGACGCTTCTATGGCGTCATGCATGCCTGGATGTTCTTGAAATCAACTGCACGAAATGGTCTGTACATCTTCGCAGACATGTAGCTAAAAACTAGAGGGTTTTAACTCTTAAGAAGGCCAGGTCTTTGAACTGCACCAAATGCTATTCAAGATAGTTATTTCAGTTAAAAACCTAACACAATATGGAACACCTCCGTTAACCTTCGACCAGATAATCTAAGGAGGATTGATCCTCCCGCTAAGGAGACCTATGAGAATAAGGATGCCTTTCTGAAATGTCGTGCAATCATGCCCAAACTTTCTGTGGTCTATGGGGAAATCCTTTGCACGTGTTTTAACACCAAAAACGTGCCTATAGCACCGGTGTTGGAGCAGCGGCGGTTTTGAGAAACTCTGCATGGCGATCCCCGACCCACGCAGGCGGCGCGCGCCAACCAGCGATGCCGCGGAAAGCGCGCTGCAGGTCGACATTGTTGCATTGACGTAGCCATATATCGCAAAGATGTCGACAAAGCGCGAAAACTGTAAACCAATGTGCTTCGAACTGAACAAGAAACACGCTTGTTTAGATTTTGTGTCGCTACAAAGCATTTTCCACTTCCACTTCCACTTCCGCATTTTCCACCTATGTTTTTCGCCAATCCATATTTTTCTGAGCATTGGAAAGGCAGAGGGGCGCATCGGCCCAACCCCCCTATCAGTCCGTGTTATGAAAAAAGGCGAATCATGGAGAGGGTTAACAATCCGCGGAAGGATTCGCGAGATACTTAACAAAATAAGTGACGGGTAAAACTTACACTGGTGCCATCTTCACTGGGTTGCGAATGCTACCTGCGCCACTTGCATAGGTGCCCTCACGCATTGCCTAAGTTAATATACGACGCAATAAGCTCATGTTATTTGACCGCACTCAAATGCGTGAAGTTGAAACCAAGTTGGGCAACTAAGAATCATCTCATTTCATCTGGTACCTCCCGTAGCACTTTATTTCGTTGGGAATAACGGAGCAGTGATGCATTTTAAGATCGTAAGCGCATTTACCAAGAGATCATATTACACAAACATCTGCCAAGAGCTGAAAGGTGATACCATTGCTATTCATTATGCTTATCAGCGATCAGTACACCATATCACGCAAAACTACATAGCAATGCCTGGTACGTAGGTAATACCTACGTATGTATAAATGTAATATGCATCCCAAGTATTGCCGAGGATGGCACGTAATGGCCGGTTGGTTGCTGCCTATTGCCCTCCTTAACACTCGCCCAGGTGGCCGGTAGGATACCCTTCGCACGGGTGGGGGGTCACTTTGACCCCCTGAAATCTCAGGAACTAAGGGAGTCATCATACATCAAATTAAATACATCAAATTCACAGAGTGTGTCGACCTGTACGTGAACTCATTTACGTCAAAGTTTGAGGTTCCTAGGCTATGACATTCGGGTCAAATAGGACCAAGCAAGGTCAAATTTCAGATTCGTCTCCAAAGGGCCCCTGGAACCTAGATCACTGTTCTTAGCAAAAGGTCACGTTCTCATCCAAAGTCAGTGACCTTTTTGACCTTTTGAAGGTCATGGCGACCAAAATCATACCAGACTACTAAGTTTTGCATTTTGATAAACGACAAAGACTACGCTAGGCAATATGTTCCTAAAAACGAGACGTTGACCTTGGTTAATCTAGGTCAGTGACCTATTCTGACCTTTAAGAAGTATATGGACGTTGTATAATGCGGCTCCTGTTATCAATCAATTCGAAATGAGCACCAGGAACTACCCCATACAGCAAGCGCTAAAGTAATAAAACAGGTTAGTTTTGACCTTGTTCTGATATTTATACCTGACCTTAGATCAGTGCACTTTGTCTATTCAGTTGTTGTGTTGCCTAAAAAGGATCTCAGAGATGTATGGCTTCGTCTAACATTCCGTTGTTGGATAAGTTTGAACGATTTCCTAGAAAGTTCCTTCGCTGAAACCATGGCCTGACTTTGGCCTACTATAGGTCAGCGACCTTGCAAGATACATATACATTTTTGGTGCCACACAATTTGCCATTAAATTTTCTACAGCCCTGTAGAATTTGGCGTGGCTACGCCGCCCTGTTCGGAAATCATTTCGGAAAACCTTCGGCGGGGGGTCAATTTGACCCCGCGCGAGCGCGTGTTATCTTGTATTGATGTATGTGGACGTCTCTGCATGGGCCCAAGACGCTAAACTCATTTTAGTGTCTTGGACGTACCGTTCGAAAAGACGGAACCAGAACTCGACGGGAAGTTTGTCGCTTGTCAAGCTTGGAAACGAAATTAAGTGAACATAACATAAAGAAGCAGATGATTCAGTGTGTGTCAAAGATCTGAGCAAAAAGCAGCTCTCTCATTTCGGTGTAGTTAACAAACATCATCTAAAGCAGGTAATAACACGGGTCCAGATGCATTGTATGATAGAATATCATGGTGTAGCGATGCGCACGGATGCTAACTAATAATGGGACTGCCCACAGTGAGAACAAATAGACTGTTCGCAAGCCGCACCGACACTCGCAAACCATATCCCGCATGTCGATCGCACGCTCCCACAAAGCAAGCATAGCCTAACGCCATCGGGATGATGGGAGTAAATGTTTCAACCCAAAGACACCCAAACGACTAAAAAGCAATCGTCTTGGGAATGGGTCATCTTGGGCCGTAAAGCCATGGAAGCCATACTGGGAGCATCGCTTTCGCGTTCACACCGCCAACAGCGCACGCACTAAATCCACACTAACTTTGCAGAATTATTACGCTGTAAAGAGAATACTGTCGGCATCACCAAGGATGTCGAATGGCTGCGAAAGGCGGTCTGCTTCTTTAAGCATATATACTTAAAAACCTATTGTTTTTGGTAGGCCCTACCCCTTTAGCACTTCGGAGGCGTTGTGGTTGGCATGCCTCACAGACGGCTTTCTTGCTGAACATGCGCAGATTTTGATGGACCGCTGGAGCTAGGTGTAGTGGCAGTCGGGGCTCTCGTGGAGGTGGATGTTTCGTCCTCGCCAGCGCAACACTTGCCTGCCAGCAGCGTGTGCCACAGCTCTCGTCCGCTCCGCTCTCCGACCACCATCAGCAGGAATATGGCGAACCCTGCCGGGCGCATCAAAGTTAGGCACTGGATAATGGACTGGGTAGCTGTTAGCACGCTGTTCAATGATGGCAATATATCCTAACACCGTTTGGGGTTTTAAAATGCTGGACGTGGAGAAAAACGGTCCACCAAACAGCGATGACAAAATGTATGTGTCGGATGCCAGAAAAAAATGAAAGAAAGGTTTGCTCAGAGGGGTGATCTGACCAATTAACAACAAAACTCCAGACAACAAATCTGTCAAAAGTGTGTCCAATGTACTCCCTGCCCGGTACACATTCCAGCCATCTCATCGAAGGAAATGCCCCGCCTGTCGAATATCTCACCTTGTAACATGTTGCAGACACAGAAGAGGCTCGCAAAGACGAATCGAGCCTCCCTGATTGCCAAAAATCCGAACACCCAGGGCAGGCCGAGCAGGACGAAGATGACGAAGGCCACCCGCAGACGTGTGAGTGCCTGCCGCCGCTCCGACTGGTTGGTTCGCAGACCCTTCTGGCGGCCGCAGCTCAGCGCGTGCACCACCATGCCGAACACAGTCGCGTTAAACACCATCACCGCCAGCACAGGTGTAGCGAATGCGTAATAGAAACTGTCGTAGTCCATCCAACAGATGTCCGCGTGGCCGTCGTAGCTTTCGTGGCGCACGGCAAGCACGCAAATCACCGGCACCAGGGAACCGCCCCAGGCAAACAGGCTCGCCTTGCGCATGAAACCAGGGATGTAGGTGCCAAGTACGCGCACAGCCGCCAGCAGGAAGTAGTGCAGCAGCGCCGACAGACAGCTGCAGGCGACGTGGTATCCGGGGGCGGCCAGCCCGCCCAGAAAGCTGACGTACACCCCGGTCAGCGCCACGCTCAGGTGCATCACGATCTGGTTGCCGCGCAGGCGACGCCACTTCTTGAGCAGGACAAACGTGAGCATGGTGAGCACCAGACCGAGAAGCGAGAGCGCGCAGCCGACATAGGTGATGACATCCAGCAGGCGGTGGTGCGCTTCGCTCAGGTAGATGTCGGGCTCGTAGTTGAAGACGCGCGCGAAGTTGGTCAGGTGGTTGCACGTGCAGACGTCACTGCCGTTACGTACCTCCTCCAGCCAGCAGCCGCGCGTAGACCATTCAGCGGAGTGGAAGTCCCAGAAGGCACAGGTTGGAGTGGGCGCCGAAGCTCCCGGGCGACTGCGGAACGCGGCTAGCACCGTCCTGCGAGGACCCTCCTCGGCAGATGCGCTGGGAATCAGTACACTGACCACCTGACTGGTGACGCGCTGGCCGGGCGACTGCAGCAGGCGCCCGTCACGGAACGTGACGAAGACGGCGTCGGCCGGCAGCCTGCTGTCCACCAGCACCAGTGCTGCCTCCTTGCCGAAGATCACGGACAGGGGGTCCGTATCCGTCACTGGTCGCACGGTTGAGACGTTGATGTGCGGCGACAACGAGGTGACGCCTCTAAATGCACCAGCCCGCGCCGCCACGTTCTTGCCCGTCACAACGGGGGCATTCACCGCGGATGATGTGACGAGAATGCGCTCTAGCGCACGCACGCTCCGTGGTCCCGCGCCCAGTGACGAGGTGGCCGCCTCCAGCACCGCGGAGTCCGCGTCCATGATTTGGTCGACGGCTATGACGGCGCTTCTCTGCAGGTTCAGCGCGGCGGCGGCCGTGCTCGGCAGCCGTCGTTCCAACTCCCACCGCACGTTGTTTAGAGTTGTCGCCACTGAGGCGATGTCCTGTGCGACCAGCAGTGCTGGCGAGCTCGTCAGTCGCTCCAGCTCGCCGGCCGTATGCACCACATTGCTGGCCGCTACCGGCGTGTGCGCCAGCTTGTGCAGGCTGCCTGAGGTGTTGGAGACAACGGCGCTCGCCGATCCGCCCAGCTCCACCGGGCCCCACTCGACGCCCGTTAGCGGGCCGCCCACGCAGCGACGAAGCGCCGGTCGGCCGCCGCCATCCACGCACAGCTCGAGGGAGGTGGCTGCTGCGTCGCCGGTGCAGGTCCGCGGCCAGGTCAGCCGTACGGGCTGCTCGGTGCGCTGCCGAGGACAGCAGCGAGCCGGCTTCAGGGTCACCAGTATTGACGCGAACCAGTTCCGGATCAACATGGGATCATCAACCTCGATCTTTTCACCGTTCTCAGACTCGATCTCGTCGGGCACCAGAGGTTCGTCGGCAGGCGGAAATGAGGTCTGTTGACGACGGCGAGTAGATACCGAGAGTTGTTTAGAGATACCGCGACTATGTACCGAGGGTACCTGGCTGCCCAAGACAGCCAGGTAATGTTCGATGACACCTTTGTCGGCTGAGTTCGTCACCCACAGAGGTCGCAGCCACAATGAGGTGAAGCCAAAACCGGGTGTGCTGTTCAGCGGCCAGCTGAAACACGAACACACTCCCTGGCAAAACGTGGAGTCACAGTCTCTCCGTGGCTGCAAGCCGGTCCTGTTGTCCGCCGACGAGGGTCGCAAGCCGACTAAATACTCTCGATCATATAAAGTGTAGGACCGCTGGAGGCTTCTTTGGGTCAGTAGCAGAGCGTTGGACAATATGTAACCGTGAGGCTCCACGGCATACGCACCACATGTCAGGTAGCCAAAATCGACGAACGGCTGGATCCTTATCAATGTTATGGACGGATCTTCGCTGCTCACTACCCGCATCTCAGTTACACGATATCCCAAATCAGAGTTCTGGCTGGTAGAAACAAAGCAATTGAAGAATGCCCTTGCCTGTTTCCTGTTGGTCCGGACCTGATCGGGGAAAATTAAAAAGCTGTCAGCATTCGTGACGCTGAGGAAAATTGCTGAGCCTTCTATAGCATTTTTGAACTCTCCATAAAAGAGATGTAGCACCGGCGTGTCAAAACGGATTACCCTCTCACAAACGGCAACGTCTGCAGCAGACTCTTCAGCGCTGACAAGGCTGTACTGGCCATTGCGAGAGTTCATGACTCCGCGGTCGTGGTGCCGAAGCATGGAGAGCGATGGTGACAGGGCGGGGTACGTCAGCGGCGATCCGTCAGCCCATCGTAGCTCGCCGTCACGTCGCAGCAGGTTCACCGCCATTTTCAGCCGTCTTGCTCCGTACAGAGATCTACTCAAGAGCCCCACCGCGTCTCGATACACTTGCGACGTTACACTGGCGAGGGAAAAGTTGCTCTGCGCGCAGATGTCGGCCGCTGATGCCCAGAGGACAGGAGGAGAGTCGGAAACAGCGATGGATATGATGCGGTCCAAGGCCGGTACCAGCAAGGCGACCGACACGCGCTCACCGAGAGAGCTGTTGCGGGACCACAGGCCGTTGGCCGCGCTAGAGGAGAAATACAGCGCCGTCCTCACCACGCAGAGCACGACGTGCGACTCATCGCAGCGGACACTGTGTATAACTAGGCTCGGCGTTAGAATGACACAGTCGAGATTCCCATCTAAGTCCAGGCTCACCCTGCTGTCGTTAATTAAGTCTGCTAAAAGAGAAGGCACCGGCCAGAGCGGTCCTTGTTGCCAAAGCCTGCGCGCTGACAGCCAAACTGGTCCGTCACCGATGACGGCATGCAGTTGATCGGGCCGCTCCCGGAGCAGCTGAGGCGGGTCCATCCCGAACGCCTTCGGATGCCGAGATCGACAAGCAGCTCCGCGATCCGCGTGGGTGACGCTCAGACGGAGCATGCAAAAGGGGCCTACGACTGAAGCCAGCGTTCTCTCGACGATCACTGCGGCGTTCCGCACAAAACCCTCGGGGCACACGGCCGGCGGCGGCTCGCAGGGGGGAAGGTAGTCGTGACACACGCCAGCCGCGCAGAAGGCGCCCCACGCTGCTCCTCTGTCCAGACTTGGGATGCAACGTCTCTCCACCCGCGCCGACCCGCCGTCCGTCAGGCACGTTGGCTCTGACGGGATGAAGCCTGGGGTTGCCACGGTCTCCCACAGGTAATGCGTCACTTCGGCCTCAGTGGTCGGCGGCCCCCGGACATTCCCAGCCTGGCACCGGAACACCATTGGAAGAGAAGAAGCGTTAACCTGAAAAAGTTGCCGACAGTAAGTAACGCATCGACCGAATTCAATCTGAACACACGGCCTTTTGCCCTGAAAGACCGATCATGCAAACGCAATTGTAAAAGTCACTTTCTCATGACTTTATACGTCAAAGGAAAATAATAACTTAATATGTTTACAATATTTCATACGGTACTTCATAGCCAAATATTAGCGACAAAGGCTTTCATTATTCAGCTCCCTTACATCTGACCCGTAGTGATTCGACAAGGACAACGTTTGGAAAGAGTGGTCTAGGAAACTTTGAATGTCTTTCAAGACGGGAATGTTGTATGAGGCTCATCGCAGATATGACTACTTACATTCCGCACATCCACCATGAGTGTCACCGTCATGTTCGAGACAATCCCTGAGGTCTCACTGGACATCTCTGACCCGCGGATGATCGATGGGTCAAAGAAATCATACAAGCCCAAGTATTGCAGACCAGCGCCGCCGACACCAACAGCGCGACGAGTCACCCGCCTCAACTCTGTTTCAAAGTCGGATGAAGCCGGCACACGTTCAAAGACTTCCTCTCCTCCGCGTCCAGGACCCTCCTCAAAGTAGTAGTCGTCCTGGCTGTCTTCAACAGATAGCAGCGACTGGAGCAGACTCACGACGTGATCGCGACTGCCCACCAGCAGGCGCATGTCCTTCGACGTCGTGACGAAGAGTCTGTTGCTGGTCACCGGATCCACAACTCCTTCAACGTAACGCTGACACCAGAATGCCCCAACGCCGAGGGTGTTACGTTCGACCTGAGGAACCAGCTGGTTCACCACGGTGAAGTTACCAAGCCACCAGCTCGTCTCATACTCGGACCTGCTGAGGACAAAGTGGTCCTTTACGACGCTGTCTCCGTCACCGCAGCGCACCTTCAGCCGTAGCTTCGTTAACTGAGCCGGGTCGGACACCTGCAGCACCGTGTCGATGTCATCGCTGTCGTCGGTGCTCTTGACAGGTTGAAGTCTCGGAGTCTGATGGGCGGCCTTGCGCTGTGCGGCGTTGTCTCTAAAGACCGTCAGCATCGGCCGGTAACCAGCTGGTCTCGTCTCCGCTGCCGTGGTGTCGTCGGAGAAGCAGACAACCCTCTGCTGGGAGGAGCACTGCTCCCACTCCAGTCTGAATGATGTCTCACGCACTGCCACCTTCCTACACAGCTGCGAAGGGTCTTCTCCGGCTGTCACCTCGATCTTATCGTAGGTTACGTATTCTGGAAGGACACCAGAGCGACTTTTCAGTGAGTAAAACCGAAAGATCTGGGTCGGGACTGCGACTGTCATTCGTCTTCTGCAAGCACTTGGGAAGCAAATAACTACATAAAAAATATTTGTGTGATAGACCCCAAGGCCGTTGAAAGCCATGGTTGGTGTTAGGGAATCATAAAATTGTCATTAGGCTGAGAGGAAGATGCAACTCACCATTTTAGGGGTAAATAAGTGCAAACACGCATGTCTGTAAATGGAATATGGGGACCACAGAGTTCTGAAAATATTCTAGATAGGGCATGTGGAGCGTTTTTAGAAGAAATCAGGCCGCCAAACGCTAAATTCAATAATGATTGGAGCATTTCGTATGAGAAATTAACACGTAGTCGATGCAGATATCAATGTAACTATTTGCTGTTTACCGCATGAATGCTCACAAGGGCGGTCCCTGCATGAGTTGTGCCGGAAACTACCAAAGCACACATCATTTCACTGTGGACAACATCAGCACAATTTCCTTTAAAGGGAATTTCTCTCATTAAGAAATGAAAAAACTGAATAACGTTTTTATTGTGTCATAAATACCAAGGTGGCCTTGCAATACTCTCCCCGAATTATTCTGCCCATCGTCGCGGGCGTGTAGCTCAGAAACTGGAGGGGGTTAGGTCTTAAGAAGGGCAGGGCTGTGAGCAGCACCGAATGATCTTCAAGATGACTATTTCGGTTCAAAACCCCATAGAAATGTGAAGCACTCTCTTCAACATTACTGTGGAATGTGTGTGCGCCTGAGGATCACGGCATCGAATCATTACTCTGCATACGGCAACAATTTTGCAAGAATGTCGTCTCTGCCTGTCTATCTGTCTATCCGTCTATCTGCCTATCCGTCTCCCTCTCTCTCTCCTTCTCTCTCTCTCTCTCTCTCTCTCTCTCTCTCTCTCTCTCTCTCTCTCTCTCTCTCTCTCCTCTCTCTCTCTCTCTCTCTCTCTCTCTCTCTCTCTCTCTCTCTCTCTCTCTCTCTCTCTCTCTCTCTCTCTCTCTCTCTCTCTCTCTCTCTCTCTCTCTCTCTCTCTCTCTCTCTCTCTCTCTCTCCTCTCTCCTCTCTCCCTCGTCTCTCTCTCTCTCTCTCTCCCTCTCTCTCTCCTCTCTCTCTCTCTTTCTCTCTCTTTTTCTCTCTTTATCTCTCTCTCTTTCTCTAGTTCTCTCCCTCTCTCTCTCCCTCTCTCTCTCTCCCCCTCTCTCTCCCTCTCTGTCCCCATCCCTCTCCTCCCACTCTCGTTCTCTCTCCTTTACCTAACGAGTCAGTCATGCGGCACTTCATTCTAATTGTCACCAAATCAACTAGACTAGATGTATCTGATGCATCTCAGATGTACACAATGACATGCTCGATCACTTCGCGACATGCTGTTTGATCTGTTTCTTTCCAGACGGAGCTATCATTTAATAATATATACCAAATCCATGGTTCATTCCATTGTCTACTTGGCTGTGCAAATTCCATGTCGCTGCGATCCTTGGTTATCGAGATATGACCCGGGAAACGAAGTGTGTCGGGCCGCCGGTCGTCGCGAAATTGGCATCGCCTGTGTTAAACCGGTGGGGATTTTGCGTCTTTTTTTCGCTCACCACGCACTCATTTTCGTGAAGCGCAGAATTTTGACGTGACTCAGGTGCGCTCTGCCAGCAGGCCTTTTTCGTGTGAGAACTTAATTTCAAAACTCCTTGCCGCTTGGCTTGCAGGTGATACCAATCAAGTGGCAGACACACACACACACACACAACACACACACACACACACACACACACACACACACACACACACACACAACACACACACACACACACACACACACACACACACACAACACACAACACACACACACACACAACACACACACACACACACACACAACACACACACACACACACACACACACACACACACCCACAACACACACACACACACAACACACACACACACACACACACACACACACAACACACACACACACACACACACACACAACACACACACACACACAACACACACACACACACACACACACACACACACACACACACACACACACACACACACACACACACACCACACACACACACACACACACACACACACCACACACACACACACACACACACACACACACACACACACACACACACACACACACACACACCACACACACACACACACACACACACACACACACACACACACACCACAAAGCCGCTCACCCACATATACGGCACAGACAAAACAGAATGGTCAAAACGAACTCCTCGGACACGCAAAAATCAAAATAAGGGAAAACTGTTATACGTAGTTTATGAGGCTGCGATTTTGTCACAAATTTCGACGGACTGTGGTTTTGAGATCAGTGACATCCTGACATGTCAGAAGTAATGTGCCGTGCAGTGCGTTGGGCCGAATTATGTGTTTAGTTATGAACTTTTTAAGTGAACTTAAAAAGTTGTCATGCCACTGATCTCGAAATCATAAAGTCCGTCGATACCCTTGACAAATTCAAGACTTTGTCGGATTAAGTATAAGAACTGTCGAGAAATTGGCCTCCCAAAATGAATTGGATAACAGAAATGAGATACCCATAGCTATAGAAATTGACATCAATACATGTGATGCTTGTGCATATCTTATTTACCATTCGAAGTCGAATTAAGCCGCAATGCGATGCATCGATTAGCATCATTACAAAAAAAAAATGTTTCAGAGAACCGAATGGGATGGAATTGGGCAATTCTTGAAGATGGGGACGCGGAGATGGGTGGCTTGAAAAAAAACTGGATGGAATTGGACTCGTTTTGACAAGGATTATATCATGGCTGTGTTAGATACTTGGATCGTTCAGTGCAGTGATCTGTTTTTTAGCGTAATCTCGCGATTATCTGTGAAAGTAGAGTATTCCATCATGGCTTTAACCAGCCGACGTCCGTTTGTAAACTACACGGACCTATACAAAAAACGACGGTAACTGACACCAGGTTTTAACGAGAGGGACCAAACGACCGACCAAACCTGCTGACAGCCCGCTGCTCCGAGACAATGGCACCGACTGACATGAAATATTAACCATTCGATGCCGCTTGTTCGATAACTTATCATTTCCACAACATGGTGACCTTGGTCCAGGTGAAAGATCACCAAAAATACACACAAAAAAGAGAACTAGGTTTGCAGACAACACCAAGCTCCGAGCCTATGACACCGATCGGCATGAAACCTTCACCTTTCGATGTGCCAAAGTCGACAACCAATCCTGTCCAGAATATAGTGACCTTGAGTCACGTAAGTGGTCATCAAAAACGGCTCAAATCACCAAAATTGGCTGCAGACAACCCATGCTTTAAACCTGTGGCCCCGATCACCACAAAACCTTCACCAATCGATGTGTCATAGTCGAAATCCTATCACTTCCATAACATGGTGGCCTTGGGCCAGGTCGAAGGTCACCAAAAAGGCATGAAACCATATTAATAACAAACAGTTGAATTGGCTGCAGATAACCTCATGCTCCTAGCCTATTGCACCGATCGTCATGAAAAATTCACCAATCAATGCACCATGGTCGGCATCCTATCATTTAAGAGCTTGGTGACCTTGAGTCAGGTCAAAGGTCACGAAAAAGGTGGTGACTGGTGTCATGGGCTGGGGGCATGGTGTTGTTTGGAGCGTTATTTTCCCGGTTATTTGTATTTTTGGCGACATTTAGCCTGACCCAATGTCACCATGTTCTGGAAGGTAGCTTATTGACCAAGCGGCATCGAATGGTGAAGGTTTCATGTCAGTTGATGCACATAGGGTCGGAGCATGGGCTGTCAACAGGTTTTGTCGGCCATTTAGACCCTCCCTAATTTGACGGACAAAGACTGCCCCGTCCGACGTCATATGCGACTCACACCTCCCTCACATCCAGTCAACGAAATCAAATACAAGACTTTGAATTACACCCATAAAAATATCTGGTGCCCCTTCAGAGATTGCCTCCCGCACACGAAAATCTGAGTGTGCGCCTGCACGTGGTGTATACACGCTCAACACAACGACATGCATGCCAGTGGAAAATAGGTAGTTAGCCATTAGATTAGCGATCGTCACTCTGTACACACTTCGATCGAGCATATCGAGCGCATCTACGCGATCGATCGAGCACATCTCAGCGAAGGGAATCTCCACATGCATGGGTGTCGTATCCCGCAAATACTTACGTGGATGTTGCGATGTGTTCGTGGCGTCACTACCCTCTCCGTGCCATGTTTACGAGCATGATGATGCCGGCCTTCGCTCCAGTAACACCCATGGACACATCACTGGCCGTTGCTGCCGTCAGCGCCAGTCGTTGGCGTGGCCTTTGGGACTTGTGTGGACTGCGGACAGGACGGCGGCGGCCCTCTGGCTGAGATAGGAGTGCGGGTCGGATGCTGACGGTGTGCGGGGTGGGGACCTATCCGGTCACGTCCGGTCTGGGCCGAGCTCGGGGCCACTGTGACCTTTCCGACGCCGGGATTGTGCAACAGCGTCCGCTGACGAACCGACCAAATGTGGCCTTCGGTGCTGCAATTTATGTCGGCGCACTCGGCAATTCATGTCGGTGACTCCTTTGCTGACTGCATGACATGTGTCCAGCTATCCATTGCACTGTCTCTGCAATGGCTAAAAAGTGGGCAATCAGTCTTGGAAATCCCGCTGGATTCCTGCTTATGACGATGGATCCCCTGGAACAACGAGGAGGAGACGCCAAGTGCGATTTTCTCGTTATGTTTCCTTCATGTAAAGCCGTATGTGTACATAATATGCAAGACAGAGAGGGGTGTAGCCTCCACTATCATGCCTCACATAACCGGTTCCCGGATAATAAGTTGAACGGAAACAAGCTGAATGGAAAAGTGGAATCAAAAAGTAGGGCGACAAAAAATCGAAGAGAGTAAAAGCTGACGGGAATAAAGTCGAATAGGAAGAAAGTCGAAGGACAAAAAGTTGAAATGCACAAAAGTCGATAAATACAAAAGTCGCATAGGAGAGACATAAAAAATACAAATAGTCGACAGTTATAAAAGAAGAAATGAAATAAGTCGAAGACTGAACATTGCTGGGGATAGAGTTCAACTCCACTAGCAATCAAAATTATACGTACGTAAAAATATATGTAAAATATATGATATGTAAAAACACTAGCAATCAAAATTATTTAAACAGAGGTCATCAGGACTTGACGCCTGATGTGAAAGGCGGAAAAGCTTGTGCCCCCGGAGCGAGGTAGATGGGCTGGATGGGGCTGGGTGAGATTCGATGGAGCGGGATGGGAACGGGCAGGGTCATGCGGGACCAGATCACACCGGAAGGAGCAGGACGGGACAGGCGAGATAGGACCAGATCGAATAGAAACGGACGAGGCCAGCTAGGACGAGACAGGATCGAGCCGGACGGCACTAGACGTTACCACGCGGGACCGCACGTGACTAGACAACATCGGACGTGGTCGAAAGGAACCGGACAGGACAAAACGGGACCAGTCGGGTGTAGACAAAACCAGACAAAACGGGACATAATCGTCGGAACAGAATTAGATCGGACGGGACTGGACGAAACACGGTGATATCAGCCGGGTAGAGTTGGAACCAGACACATTTTGAGGCGGCTTTCGGGGGAAACGGCTCTAGGGGCTTAAATATGGCGCTGAAAGGAAGATCTCAACTGTATCGGCATCACCTGGCTCTCGTCGGGTGCACACCGGCGCCGTTCCAGTATCCGCGGTGTTTTCCGTCAGGGAGAGGGAAGGGGGCGCGGTATATGCAGGGCGGCCGCAGGTGAATGGGCAGCGTCTGCTGTGCGACTGTTGTGTTTAACAGTGAACCTGCATGTGCATTATACAACCCTAAAGCACCCATATTGTGTGGATCCGTTCCAGAAACAAAATTATGGTGCTTGATATCAGCAAGGAAAGTCTTGAGCTCCTGTTTGTTCTGGTTATTGAGGGGCGGTTAGTAGTCCCCCACCTTCACAACTTTAGAGAAAATTACACCACTGTGTTGGCGTTGAGTCCTGAATTCCTATGCCGAGTTATCAACGCTCATTATACCAGTTGGTACGGTGAAACGACATGGTACAACAAACGTTGGTTGTCTTGCCAACACTTGGTGTCAATACTTTCAAGCTGTGCTTATGGTAATGAGTGTATCCTTATGAACACTCATTAGTGCCTAAAAATTATGAACACTCAAAAGCCTCTTGCAGACTTTTGTCCCTTTTGACCTTTTGTCTTTACACTTTTTTATTATCCCTGTCGACTTTGATCCCTGTCTACCGTTGCCGTTTTGCATTCGACTTGGACTTGATCTTTTCCAATTCAAGCAGTGCCAACTCGACTTTTTCCAGTTCGATTTTTTCAGCTTCTTGTCCACCCTTTGCCCTTTGCCCTTTGCCCTTCGATTCCATTATTATCTCTGTCAGTTTTTTCTCGTTCGACGTTTTCTGAATCGACTTTCATCCCTGTCTACCTTTATCTCTATTAACATTTTGTCGTTAAACGTCTTTCCAGTCGACTTCTTGTCAGCACGTCCCTATGGACGTACGCCTCCGCTATTCCTGATTCCTGGTTTTTAACAAGAACGATTGAAAAGACGAAAATAATTGAATGCATTGTAGCAGTTGTAGCGCCAGTAGATATGTACACGAAATGTGTGAGGAACAGGCTATGTAACTGTCACTGTAACTTTTAACCGCAGTGTTAACTTCAGGTCACGCGGCCGCAACAGTTCAATACTGTGTAGTAGAAAAGGTATATGCATGCGTCCGGGCTCTAAGCAAGCCCCGGCCGATTGCCCCGCCCGGGGCAATCAAAATTCAATCCACGAAGATTTTCAACAAACCTTGTAGACTTTGACATGATCTCGTCATGGTAGTTAAATGCTGACGAGAATTTGATTTGGCATCAATTTTTAACACAAATTCGTTATGCAACGCAATCATCTTCAGGGGCAAAGACAAAGGGGAACAAAGGCCATGTCCCTTGATCCAAGAGGCCAGCACTAGATGTTGAGTGATTATGCAGGCATTTGGTCCAAATTTGTTTGAGTTCGGAGAGAATTTGACAAGTCTCCCCCTCCCCCCGCCCCATCCTCTTGAGCAAATTCTAGCTACGTGTCTAACTATACTACAGGCTTGGGCTACAGGCTACAGGCTTGAGCATCGCTGGACCGGGATCAGCGGTTTGGTAATGCCAGATGTCCAGGTCCAGGTCCGGGTTCACAGGTGCAGTCGCATAATATATGCTACTCACTCTCACTCTCAAAACTTAAATCACTGTTAACTTACTCAATTGATCGCTAACTTTTATTGTCTCCGTTGAGTGGGCATTGACTTGAAGTCAACACTCCTTGGAGAACCTGGAAAAGCCTCCCGAGCCTTTTTGTCACTTAAGTTGAGGGGCACTCATTGCAGGGAGCTAGAACCGCTTTTGAACTAGGATGGTAGTGAAAAATTTCATAGCAAAAAGACCGTGCGGGAATTAAAAAATAAATTCACAAAAGCTGGACCTTATGAGCTCGTGACTGATGCTTCAGCAAACACAGACATCGATTTTAAGCTGGCATGAACGTAATATCAGAAACCTGACAAAACTGTTTTGTTTTTAACATTTTAGGCCATTAAAGTGAAATAGAATGCATTAAATCATAGTAATTTCATGGCAGTGTAATGAGCATGCAAAATTATTAACACCAATAGTTTGGTGCTGTACTTTGCACTTCCCTTCCACAGCCTTTTAACACAAAACAAAGCAAAGGAATTCAATGACAAAATAGCAGGAAATTCAACAAGCATAAAGCACCCAAACAAAAAAAAACTTGGACTCATACACATCAGCCCATCACCAAGTCAAACACAATAGACATACCTCTGGCTTCCGTCGTCAGGATGGGGTCAGGGAAAACAAACATGTTGTCACTATTTCTTGCAAAATACCAATGCTTATTCCATGAAAGTAGCCCAACTATGCCTAACATAAAGAGGCCTTACTTCATATCATCCCGTCTAACCTGTTTGTATTACAGCAGCAGTTGTAAGTTACTGATTCTTGTACAATTCCTATTGCCACATTCAAATCTTGCCACATTCATCCAAATCATCAAATGCCAACATTTGTGCTTAGATTTGACCTCACGTGGTGACATCTTGCTAAAGAACAAAGCCAAAATTTGAGCAGAAACATCGGCGCCAATAATGAGCTTTCAGAAATATGTTTTGGCCTCATCGCATAAATACAAGAGAATCGAAATACTGTTGAAAACCGACATCTCAAACGAATAGTGCTGAAAATATTCCACTCTATATTTGGGTTTCAATCACTACGCTTTAAATAATGGAAAAACAGAAGTGAGCATTCACGCTGCTCTGGTTGTTTTCAAAGGTTGAAGATGTAAAGAACCGAACCCAGAACGCATGCCCATCTGTCTGTCTATCTGTTTACATTTGTAACCAGATGCGCCGCACAGATGGTTGCACGGAATGACGTAAAATTTTTCACATGGGACGGGTTCAACCTTCGTGGCGCCCCACGACATAGCTTCACGTCCGTGACACAGGTGTCAGCCACAGCGCGCGTGGAGGGGTAATACTTTGCTAATGCAATGCTTTGTAATATTTAGCGAGGAGGCACTTCTTTCATATGCAGGAGGAATAGTTAGCGCACTTAAGAGAGATCAAGCCATAGGAAACACGCCACGAAACTCGAGTAGGAATAGATAAGCGACCCCACACGAAGAGGACCGCGAATTGGCGTAAGAAATACCCACGCCAGCGGTTCGGTTTTTTTGCGTAGCGGAACAAGCGGCGCGAGTGTCGATTTGTATCTCCCCCAGTATTGAGTTGGGTCCCCTAATCTTGGCTTACCCCCCCCCCCTCCCCAATGTTTTTGGTTGAAATGCTACAAAAAGACGCTGGTAAAAGAAGATCATAACACAAAGGCTATCTTCTTTGATCTTTCTGCCTGGTGGCACCTCGTACCACTCTCGTAACAAAAAGTCATGGTTGCTCTCACCACAAGATACAAGTCGTGACAGCTGAGCGGATAAACGACACAATAAACTGCACATACCTTGCGCCATAAGACGCGCAATGGTTTGTGAGGTTAAAGTGAAAAGCTCTGAAATGTGGGGTTGACCTAAGACCTTCATGGATAACCCCGTCCCCGGGTCCCACAACCAAAATGCGTGCCGTCTCCCATGACCGCCATGGAAGGGCGCCATGGGCGTCCTGAGTTGGCCTCTAAAGGGGCGCCTTCGCGTGCCGATCAGAAGCCACGCTTGCGTCCAGTGCCTGCTCCCTGGATCCAGCCCTGTATCACT